GTGATCCCTTAAGCGAACACTTAAAACTTCTGCTTTCACACAAAAATGTGGATTGGGGGCAAAAATCTGGCAATGCTAGGTGCATCGAAGGGACAACAGGCCAGACCCAGGTCACCCTACCCCTTTCAAAGTCCCAGGGCCATCCACACCCTGGGTTGTCCCAGCCTTTCTCACTCCTCAGTATTTCCCAGTGCCGATGGAGCAGATCCTGTTTTACTTGCAGTCAGTCCTGTGCTGCTGATTTCCCTGGAGTGAAGGAGCCTTGTTAAAGAAACCTCATTGTCCCTCTCCCTCTCCCCGTGTCTTTCCTATGTGGGGCTGAACTGTAGACCTGCAGAGATGGAAAGGAGGCTGTCTCCTGGGAGAAGGGACACTGTGGCTGCACACCAAGTGTGCGGGTGGTGCCCATGTCAGCCTTCCTGCCGCCCACATGCTGCCCATGCGCCTGGTCTCCCTGGCTCTGGCCTTTGAGGTGGCGACCCTGTGCCAGAAACCGTAGCATGCCTTAAGAGTTCTTCTTGAGGGCAGAACAGATATACCTGTTAAAAAACATTGACTCCAATGTGATTTATGCCCTAATCTATTACTGTCCTGGAGGTGGGCCACACACCCTGACAGTAATGGCTCCCCCTGCAATGCTGGCCCCACAGCCTGGTCCTTTAAGGCTTGGTGCCTCAAGTGTGGAGGACAGGTCTTTTCTCCAGGTGCGACTCGTGTGGTGCTTTTGGCGTTTGCCTTTCTGCTGGTCGTGTTTTATTTCTCACGGTTCTCATTTACAAAGCCCCTCCTCCATCCCATGTGAGTGCTCTGTTGTGGGGTTCGTTGACTGTTCCCCAGACTATATAGCAACCAAGGTGGCCGGCCTTTGACTTAGAAGTCAAGGCCATCACACCTGTTTGTTTGTTTTTTTGTATGTGGCTTCCTAGTAATGCACGGAGTGATGCTTAATTAATGTGTACCTGAGAAACGGAACTGTTCTCCCACCTCCAGTCTCCCCCAACCTCAACCTCCCCCTCCACTTCCTCCAGATTAGTTCTCCCAAAACAGTTAAAATGTGCCCCGCAAGCTGCGTTGCCCAAGCCCCCCAAACCTGAAGTATTATCTACTGGTTCACAGTAAGTAGCTCTTCAAAACCCAGATTTAGATTGGAAAGTCTGGATTCAACAAGCATAGGCATGCCCCCCAGTATATCTTCTGTTGAAAATGTTGGGAAGTGTCCTTTTTCAGACAACAGAAAGCATAGCAATCAGCAACTCCTTAAAATGTAAAAGGGTCGTCCACATCTACACAATCTCTGACTACTTTGCTACACCTTCCCAACCCTTGAGGCCCTGAGTTCTCAGGAAAAGATAAAAAATTCTGCTTGATGTAGAGCAGTAAGTTCCTTATTCCTGTTTGATCTACACATCCAGGGGTTGTAGGAAATTTCCTGATCTCTTTTGGGTATCTAGTCACCTCCTTGGGTGAAAGGGAGGAGACGTGCACCCAGATGCATCACCCCTGGGGGCCATGTGTGCACGTTGGATGCAGGCAGGTGCATTCTACTGCAGGGTCATCTGTGGCCCCTGCGTTCAAGTTCAAGTTCTACTTTAGGGGACTGGGTGTTGAAAATGAGGAGGACAGGCCAGCGGCTGAGATGGAGCATCATCTCACTCTCCCTGGGGCAGAGTGAAGCCCAGGGAACAAACATTAAAGAGGGACAACCAGTTGGAGATTTCTTGGACTCAAAGTAAACCTTTTAAAGAGATCCCCTCACTAAAGCCTTCTGCCGAGGCCCCTAGAGCTTTGCTGTAGCTCTGATGATGCCAGCATCTTAGGGTAACTCAGCCTCTGCAAACCTTTTGCTGAAAGTAAGTAGAGGGGTTTTGTAGATCAAGATTTAGTAGGACAATGTACCATTATTTTTGTTATCTGGATCTAGAAGCTGCTAATAAGCCTGCCTAATTAAACTTATTTTTAGAGATGGAGCAAATAGGGTTTCAGGCACTTGAAACAACCCTGACTTCATTTCATCTGAGAGTGCCTACGGAGGAGGCCAGATGAGACACAACTGCCAGTCTCTCAGCCAATGTGTCTTCCAGATTTGGTATGAGACCCCTCCTCAGTGCACAGGCAATGGGGCCTCAGCTCTGAGCACAGGATCCCTGGAAGGTCCAGGCACCCTGCTGTTACCAAGGCTTCCACGAAGTTTATCTTGTTACCTGGTGGGACTTGGCTCATGAAGAAGAGAACGGAAACGAGGTGGACAGCAATCCTCATGGCTGATGAGAGAAGAAAGCTTGGCTTCCTGTCCCAGAGGCAGAGGAGACTTCCGTCTGCGGCTCTCTCACACAGCGAAATGTCTTTGTCTGGGCGCCAAGTGCCCTCTGTCCTCATTAAGGGCACTCACAGACAGAGGCATTCTATGGATACACAATGGACTTCATAAGGACACGGGAATCCTTATTTTGTTGGACACTCAGTTCATTAGGAGGATGTGGGCACAGTTTTGACCAGGAATCTTTGTTAAATGGGAACATAAGCTACAAACACATTGGCAGTAGATTAAAGTCTATGAACAAAGAACTGTGTATATTGTTACAATGAGACAGACTATATTGAGAAACCAGCCAGCTTAGTTAGTAACCACACATTTTGTTAGTGAACACTTCCCAGGCTTTACTAGCCCTGCTAATTAATGATTAATCACCACCCACTCCTGGTCTGAACACCCGGGGTGCTCTGCTCACAGTATAATGTTTACCATTTGGTGTGATGGTTTGCTGAACATACATTTACCTCCCTCACCAATGGGCGAGCTTTTTACTTGCTGGGACCATACTTTGCTCCATAGAACTGATGAGAACAATGAATCGTGTGGTCATACCTTCTCAAATCCTCCCATCAGGTGTAAAAATGCAGGGCAGTGAGATACTACTGAACATGGAAGCAGCAGGTCTGGATTTAGGCTTTAAATCTCTAGAAGTGCTGCTAACTAGAGCTCTGAACACAGGCAGGACAGCCGTCTTCCTCTAATATCGGTAGCACGTAGACCAGCTGGATGCAAGCCAGGAGACTCTCAATCAATATTGTGCACCAAACCAACTTGGAGAGTGGCTTTAAAATGCAGACATCTAGAGCCACTGAGGGGAATTTAGTTTGGTCAGGTGGAGGGGACCCTGGACATCTGCATTTCTAACACATTTCCCAGGGGGCTATTCTGAACTTCATTATGGAATACTCATTGCACAATATCAATTTAGATCATCTCTAGGCTCCTTTCTAGCTCTAATATTAGAGTATTCTAAGTTCTCTGACTTAGCATAAATACCATGTTTGGCTTTCATGAGTGATAATGACATTGTGTAGGTGCACGGGCATGTTGGCAGCACAAAGGGGTGGAACACACTCCTTAATCCATGCAAAATTGGATTCTAGTTTTATTAGGAACACTCAGGGATTGGCTGGGGCGGCTAGGTAAACTGACAGAGCAACCTATTTGGAAGTTTATTGCAGTGACAGAGGCTCGGTGAGGCTCCAAACTGTCCAGAGAGAAGGGAGGGAAAATGTTTGCAGTGAAAAGTGTAGGGGAGCGATGACGAACAAGGTAGGTGGGCATTCCCACAAACTGGACTATTCACATTGTTTTTTATGGTTACCCTGCTTAAGAGAATGTTATCTTCCAGAATTTACATCTGTTTAAGTGCAAATATTTGTTAAAAACTAACTTAAAACCTGGAGAAATTTGTATTCATATTAGACACGAGAAAACCAGAAGGATTCTTCTTTAGTAATAATTGTTAAGAAATTTCTGCATGAATCGCTGAGATTTAGTCTTGCTGAATTTCCTTTAGCTTGAACTTCAGAATTTACAAAAAAAAATTTCATGCAGTTTTTCACATTAAAATTTATTAAGGGTATAAACGAGGCAACTGAAATTTGAAAATCCAGTTTTACATTGCTTTTAAGTGTTCATGAGAAAGTAGATATTCCACTTACATGCATCTAGATATTAAAAAATTGACTTTTAATAAAAGCCAAGTTTTAAAGTAAAAAAATCTACCTGTCTCCAAAGGAGCCCACTTCTTACAAGCTTCATTATCCACTTGGGACATGAAACATTCAGAAAAACAAAACATAGATTAATATATCTCATCGTTCAAATTAAAAATACTCTTTCAGACAAGTGGGAGTGAAGATAAGGAAAACTGAAATTACAATATATGTAGAAAATAACGACTTGTGCACGTTTCAGGATGTCATCTACATTTGCCTTAAAGGGGTATTTGAGTTTATAAGCCCCCAGAAATGTGAACTATAACAAATTAGATGTAAACAAGGAGAAAGAAACACATACATACACATGTACACCTGCACAGTCGTACACACGGGAAGTACAATTAGCCCGCCACATCCGTGGCCAAGCTGGGCCCTTTGGTCCCTGCCACTGGGAGAATAAAACGGAAACCAACTCCGGTGGTTGCCACTGTGAAATTCCACATCTCACACAGGTGAGTTTGGAGTTCGTGCTGGTTCCCAACGAACAAGGAAAAGGAGAAAAAGTGGGAATGTGCGTCTCGGCACGTGGTGCGCATCCAAAGGCAGCCACCCGCTCCAGCAGGGCGTGCTCCCAAGAAGGGTTTCAACTTAAACCGCTTTCCGGTCGTTGGCACGGAAACACCTCCGCATTCGGCACACGTGCCTGCACAACCCAAAGTTTTTACTTTAAAACAAGCGAATCACTGAACGTGAAGCAGCGTGGTTGCAGCTGGACCTCAAGACACCCACCACACTCCGGAAGGAAACCCGGAGACTGGGGTTCTGCAGCCGGAAGTGCAAGCCCGGAAACGCGAGCGGGCGGGGCGGAGGGCGGAGGCCCCGCCCACCACGAACCCCTCCTCCTGGTGCTGTCCTGCCTCCCGGCCGGGCAGGCCCCTCCGCTTGGGCTCCCAGTTTCCTGCGGACCCGGAAGCAGATTGCTTAGACCGTGGGTCCCGTTGCCTGGAGTGAGTTTTAGTATTTCTGGCTCCCACTCGCGTGTCTATGCCTCGGCCCGCGACCACACCGCGGGCCAGGGTCCCGGGGACCTTGCGGAGCCCGCGTCCGCCGGCCCCAATGCGGGGGGAGCCCCGCCTCGTGAGCGGCCTCCGCGCTGCCGGTCCAGGTCCGCGTCAGTTTCGGGTAAAATCGCCCTGCGGCCGGACCCGCCCCCTCCCCGTATCCCGCGCCGGGCAGGATCGCCGCGCATGCCCCCTGAGTCCCTTGCCGCTCCAGGCGCCGTCCCGGGACTCTCCGGGTTCCCGAGTCCCCAAGCCCCTCCTACTGGCCGAGCCCGTCAGGCTGAGTTCACACGCCCGCGTCCCACCTGCCAGCCCCGGGGCGGGGGCGTCCTCACCCCAGTCCCGGGAAAGTGGAGGTGAGGTGGGCGATGGGGCAGACCCGGAGAGACAGGGAGTCAGGGACAGTGGGGAAGAAGAGGACTGCGAAGGACACAGTGGTCGTGAAAGACAGTAGCCTGGGCAGAAAGCAGAGCAGCAGGGAGGTGGAAGCAGGCCGACCGGGAGGAGAGGTTTTGACTGACAGCCGCAGGGGGGGCCAAAGACGGGGAGATCCCATGCTCAGAAGAGTCCGGTTCTTAATTTCCAATTTATATTCCCTTTTATCCGTTTTGTGTCCGGCTCAGATTATGAGGTCTCATTGGCTTTCCATCCGTTATTATGCATACTGAAGACACTCTTGGGTGCTTAGTAAATAATTTTACACTATTTCAGTGTGTCCTTGATAAGGATATTGGTGATATTAACAGTCAAAACCGAGTTTAACCGATTAGTTCAGCATTCAACATATTTCTCCTCTTATGTGACCTTTTAACTCTCTGGACTGTGCACTAAAGTTCCCGACGAGGCATCTGTTCCCTTTGCCCTGTGCCTGAAAACGATGGAGGATGCACTGGGCTGTGCCTCGGAGCCGCGCCGGTGTTTGCCGGCGCCACCGATGACGTCTGCTCACGCTCACAATTTTGACCGTTTCTGTGATGCTCTGGGAAAGGGGAGGCAAGTACTTGAGATCGCGGGGTGAGGCCGTGAGAGAGAAGTGGCTCCTGCTCAGTGGTGGGGCACGTGACCGGTGATTTTTCCGGGTGGGTAGAGAAGGGCAGACCCTGGCGCTCTCCCACCCAGGCCTGTCACTCCGGTGAGGACAGCGCTGCCCCCGTCCCTGGCCTGTCCTGCTGGCCATGCCTGCCCCACAGTCACAGGCCCCTTGCTAGGGGTGCGTGTGTCACCACGTGTCTCCCAGTGAGGGGGCGCTGACTCTGTGAAGGGAGCTTGGAGAAAGCCGAAGAGTGGAGGTCCAGCGGGTAGGAGGGAGGTAGGGAAGCTCAAGGGCAGGAGAGAAGGTGTTTGTTACAGACTTGGCCTTCCTGAAGTCCTTGCAGGGCCGAAATGAAAAGAGTGGTTTTTGTCGAGCTGCTCTTCCAGCGAGGATATCTGTGAAATGCTTAACGTCTCATCTGAGATACCGTGAACGAGCCACCAGTTGTGGCAAAGAGCTGGTTTACGTGCATGTATGTAGTGAGCCACAGAAGCGCCATCAGACCATGTGGACGCCCCGTTAGCAGCACATAATGGAAACAGGTGTGACCGGGGCCAGCAGAAGCTCTCGGTGACCTCCCGTGTTCTGTCAAAAGGCTGGGTGACATACGACACATCAGACTTAATGTAAAAAATCTCCTCCTGCCTGGATTTTGTTTAAGGGCTATCTAGTTTTCAAAGTGACTTATCATTTGTTGTCTGTAAGTATTGCTTATTGCAAAGAGGATGTTCTAGAATAAGTAATCATTGGACTTTCCTGCGTAGGCCACACTCATGCCACCGCAACTACCTTCTTTTGTCTGTGAAGATTTTCAGTACATTTTTACTCAGATGTGTTCATTGTTCCAAAATGCTGAAATACAAATAAGTAAAAAAATGATAGGATGTAAAAACTTACTGCTCCTGCTTGGTTCATTTGGGTGTTTCTGTGTATGTGTCTTCCAGGGAATCTGGCCTCCAGGAAGGTGGCCAGACCGAAGGACCATGTGCTGCCCACCAGCCCCCCATGGACCCACCTGTTCCGAAGGTTAAGGCCGCAGCCTGTCACGGCCCTGACTGGCTTGCCGCACTTTCTGCCTCGTGTTGCCCTCCACCACCTTCAGGTACACACTCGGGCTTCTTGCTTCTCAGTCTGGGCTGTTGGTGGGAGGTAGGTGCTTATGTCATTTATTGCAATCCTTAGTATCAATATAATATAAATGTTTAATGTAAAATATAATATAAATGCTTAAAACAAAGTGAATAACATTTTAGCTTTGTTCCATTGGAACTTTTACATAATATGTTCAAATATTACTTTTCATTGTGTACATTTAAAAAAATATAGTCCAGGCTTAGTTAAAAGAAAGATTCTCCCCTTAACTTTCAGTTGGCATATCATGTCTCTGGTGGTTGTCTGTGATCTGGTCTTTTTATTGAATTAAGTCATAAAATTACTTTTGTTATATCATTTCCTTTGTTTTTACCAGTAATGTGGATTTTATAATTGTTTGTCTTCCACAGTTTCTTGATAATCCTTCCGTTGTTTTTACTGACTCCTTTTCTCTGTTGCTACTTTAAAGCCTGTGATCCCTGTAAGTGAGAGATTGTTTTTCAGGCATTCTCTGTTTTCCTTTCTTATATTTGCCAATGTGATCTCTTTCCTCAAATGGTTTTCCTTTTACTTCTGGGGGTTTTGAAGCTCTGCCAAATCATTTTCCTTCTCTTCTAACTCTTTGACTTTCACTTTTGTAACTCTGCTCTGAAGTTCTACTAATCGAGGTTTTTAATAATTTGTAAGCCATCTATTGCTGAAATTACTGGATAATTTTTTTAGAGAGAGAGGAAGGGAGGGAGAAAGAGAGGGAGAGAAACATCAGTGTGTGGTTGCCTCTCACATGGCCCCCACTGGGGACCTCGCCTGCAACCCAGGCCTGTGCCCTAGACAGGGAATCGAACTGGCGACTCTTTGGTTCGCAGCCCGTGCTCAGTCCACTGAGCCACACCAGCCAGGGCTATTGGATAATTTCTAAATGAAGTGCTTCAAGGCAAAGGATTCCTTGGATATTAATATGCAGTTACTTTTTACCTCTGCCTCTTTTATACTTTGCCTTTTTAATGGTTGCTGCATTTTTTCCAAGTAAATTTTATTGAGTTAAGTTCTCCTTAAATTACAGGAATCCATGGTGATAGTTTGGAAAGAAATCTGTGTTGGTGCTGTGCCGTAGCAGGAACTCTTCCTGGCTCTACGTAATCACTGTTTGACACAGGACATTTGGAGAGTCTGAGGAGCCTGGCTGGGGCTCCCCACAATCTAAGAGAGACCAGCTCCTGAGGGGCTGCTTTGTGCGAGGGATCTCACCCCACCACTGGGAAGCACGTAGGAAGCACAGTCATGCCTGGGTGCGTTCTTCCCGTGCTCGGGGAGAACGCTCTGCTGTTTCAGGATGTAGGGCTTCCCTGGGTATCCCTGTATTTCATTAGAAGAAAAAGTCTAAAGGTAAAAAAATATATATTAGACATTTCAATCTAAATTTGCCTTGAAATCAAAACCCAGCCTAATCTCATGGCCAGTGCCTTGTTAGTCTTCCTCGATTCTCCTTCCCTGCCCTTGAACTCTCTTGTATTCTCTGGGCAACTCAGATCCACAGCTGTACTTAGGGATTGTGCTCTGGGCATGGTGGACTGTCCTGGGGACTGGCTGCCTTTTCCCGGTGACCAGGTCCTTGCCTTCATCGGGGCTTTTCTTTCAGGCAGGACTGAAAGCTCTGTCCTCTCTGCCACGTGACCCACAGTGGGAGATAAAGGGAGCAGCGTCCAGAGTCCAGCTGTCACCCCCAGACACTGCAGCCACTCTCCAGCACCTGAGAAGGCAAAGGGTTTGAATTCTTCCTCGCCGCACATGCGGGCAGCGGGCAGAGAGCAGAGCCTGGGGACTGCCTCGACACCGCCTGCTCCTGTGATGCTGAAGGCACTCTCCCCACTGCGCAGTACAGGGGAGACTCCAGTTTCCAGGTATGGACCGGTATCTGGGGAGAGGGGTGTCTTCACTATTCCGGGAACAGATGCTTCAGAGCTCAGGACAGAGGCAGGAGTTCGAGAGGTGTAGGGCACAGGGCCCAGTCAAGCACCCTGAAAGGGAAAATGCTGGCATAGAGCACAGGGCACAGTTGGAGCAGGGCATCGAATCCCCTTCTGGGCTGTGACCGTGGACAGCAGGGGTCGGAGGTGGAACCTTGGGCTCCCCTTGGTTTTGGAGATGAATGTCAATTTTCCTCCTCCGCGGAGTTGGTAAACTTTGGAAGATGCTCACTGAACATGCGGAACCATGGAGATGTGTGCCTGGCACCTTGCAGTGTGTGAGTGGACTGTTACTTGGGGAGACCTTCCGGGACTCCCTGGGGGGCACGTGGGCTGGCAGCTCTCACGCAGAAGCCACCCTAGGCTTTTTCAGAGGGTGTGTGTACGGTGGTTCAGGCAGGTCAGACAGTGTCCAAGGCCCTGCACATCAGCCAGTCCACTTCCTGATTCGGATTGAAACCAGTTCATTTCAGTTCCTTAATTTTCCGAATGTTTGGCTGCTGCAGGGAGAGGCCCCTGTTATAAGATGTCTCTTCTACAGGATGCACGGGAGTGGGGTTCCAGGCCTAGAGGGGAGAGGCCGCCAGGTCTGAGGCTTGGACGGTTCTGAAGTCTCTCCAGCTTTCGCTGAGGAGGTAGACAAGCCGATGTAGGTTATTACGGCAGGGACCCATAGTGTTCCAAGCTTGAGTGCTTTACACTCATCATTAACCCATTTTTACCCCCTCTGAGCAATGCCCTGGAGGAGTGGGGACCGTCTCCCCACTGTGCGTCAGCAGTACGTGGGGAAGCCAGGCAGGGGCCCCGGCGGGGTGAGTTCACAGCCTGAGTCCTTGAGCTCTGAGCCGCCCAGGTCCGGGAAAAGCTGGCTCACCATTCTTTTGGCCTTAGGACGCTAGTACCCGTGGTAATGATGACGGTGAAAATTTTAGAAAAATCAAATGCTGGTACTTAAATGCATATTGCATGATTTTTCTTCAAAAAGAATTTGTTTTTATATCTCTGTATCTCCATATATCTTAAGACTGTGTCCTTAGCCTTCCAAGTGTTTAACATTTTCAAAAACAGTTAAAGTGCATGCTGTTTACAGGAGAATCAATAGTGAGGCTAAGTCATTAATTCTAGGAAAGCCTAATATTTTGAAACTCACAGGGTGTTAAAGTCCTTAATCGTTACATTAGCTAAATCTGACCAGAAGAGACCTACAGTAAATTGTTTTTCTATTTCTTGGTGGTAAAATATGCACACTCTAGATACCCCAAAAATATGTACCTTGAATATATATTTTCAACACAAGCGTTTCTGCTATGTGGAGTCACCCCGACACTCACAGTCTGAAGGATGCCAGTAGATCACAGGTCCTCTGAAAGCTGCAGAACAGGAGAGGTCATTTGCTCTAGCTTCTCCGCAGTCCTGCCCATGAACCAAAGTGCAAGAAATACTGGGTGGGTCTTCTGGGAAGAGGTGAAGGTTATTTCTGAGACTTTTAGAAGGATGGGTAATTAAGGACATAATCTGTTGGTGAAACAATAGACAAATAGCTCACTGAAACACAACAGGGAGCCCAGAAATATACCCACACAAATATGTTCTTTCTGTGGATATATTTTCTATCTCACGCAGAAACAAAAACAATACAATGAAGAAAAGAAACTATTCAATAAGGGAAGGATAACAGTTGAAAATCACATACAAAAAAAGAGACTCTGGACCCAGATCTTATATTCTTTTCAAAAATTAACTGAATATTTATTATGGGCCTAAATATAAACCACAAAACTATAAAGCTACTATAAGGGAACACAGGGGGGAAATCTAGGTGACTCTGGGTTGACATGGCTTTTTAGATTAGATCAATACCAAAGGTATGAGCCATGAAAGAAAGAATTGATAAGCTGAACTTGAATAAAACGAAAAACTTCTGCTCTGTGAAAAACACTGTCAGAAAGTGAGAAGACGAGCCATAAGCTGGAAGAAAATATTGGCAGAACATTTTTGATAAAGGACTGTTACTCATAATATATAAAATACTCTTAGAAGTCAACAACATGATAATGAACAACCCCATAAAAACGGACAATCTGAACAGACACCTCACCAACGAAGATACGCACTTGGGAAGTAAGCACATGAAAAGATGCTCAACATCGTGTGTCATTGGGGAAATGCAAATTAAAACAAAAATGAGATGCGCCTCCTCGCCTGGTAGAACATTTAGAGTCTGAGACCCCCAGACACCGGTGAGGAGCAGCAGCTGCGCTCTTTCACGGCTGGCAGGACGGCGGACTGGCACGGCCACTCTGGAAGGCAGTTTAGAGGCATTCACAAGATTAAGCACACTCTTACGGTATGGCCCAGCAACATGCTTCTTGGCATTTATCCAAATGAATTGGAAAACATATGTCCGCACGGAAACCTGCACATGAATGTTGTATAGCAGCTTTATTCGCGATTGCCAACATTTGGAAGCAACCATGGTGTCCTTCAGCCGGTAAAGAGATGTCCGCACAACAGAAGATTAGTCAGCAGTAAGAAGAAATAAGCCATCAAGCCACGAAGGTACACAAAGGAACTTTAAATGCATGTTACTAAGTAAAAGAGCCAGTCTGAAATGGCCGCTCACTGTGTGATTCCAACTATATGATATTCTGGAAAAGTGAAAACTATGAATAAGATAAAAAAAAAAAAGGTCAGTGGTTGCCAAGGGTTCTGGGGCAGTGAAACTACTGTGTACCATACCAGGAGACACATGTCGTTATACATTTTTCAAAACCCATACAATTGACAACGCCAACAGTGAATCCTGCTCTGAACTCTGCACCTTGTACATCGGGCGGGAGTCTGTGTGTCTGGATTAGGGTGGAAATGAAGGCTGATAACAGTGCCCGTGCAGAGACTATGGCAATGTGTTCGTTGGGGCGCAAGGTCGTGCAGAATACTCTGATGTGTGGTGGAGCCATTAGGTCTGCTTGGAGACCAGAGGAGGAGCAATGTTTCTGTTGGAGGGACAGAGGGGTTGTCCTTCTATTTGGAGGGGAGAGGTGTTGTCCTGAGGAATACTTCATTTTCAGTGTCAGTTTGTGAGCAAAGATGATGTTCAGTAATGACATCCAGACAAGAAATTTCACTTAGCAGCAGAAGAAATTGGAGCAATTACATCCATGCCTGAGCCTGCCAGGACACTGTAAAAACCAAACCAGGGAGTGCAGAGACATTCCAGTAGCCCCAAGGACCTCTCTGCAGGGGGCCTGGGAGGAGGGCTGGTGAGAGAGGAGGCTGAAGACAGTGAGGAGACCAAGGCGTCCGATGAGGCTAAGGAAAAGTTAGTTCCGAAAAGGAGTTAAGGATTAACTCCCCTTTGTCCCCAAGTGAAGACTCAGTTATTGGGAGGTAATTGGCCACATCAACAATATGTATTTATAAAATAATCACTGGTGGTCTTTACAAGTCATAGGTAACAGGGTGGGACTTCTGATTATTAATATCAAAGTGATATTCAGGGAAAACCTAGGTGTCCTCTGTAATTCTTTTTTTAAAAAGTTTATTGAGGTGACATTGGTCACAATTCTCTGATACATCATCTGTACACTGTATGGTGTGTTCACCCCAAGTCAGGCCCCTTTCCATCACCATTCATCCCCCCCTGCACCCTCTTCCACCTCTCCCCGTCCCTTTCCCTCTGGAAATCGTCATGCTGTGGTCTGTGTGTGTGAGTTGTCTTTTTCTTTCTTTTTTCCTATTGTTTTTTTAAGATTGTTTATTTATTTATTTTTAGACAGAGAGGGAGAGAAACACAATGTGTGGTTGCCTCTCACACACCCCCTACTGGGGACCTGGCCCACAACCCAGGCATGTGCCCTGATTGAGAATCGAACCAGCAACCCTTTGATTCTCAAGCTGGCACTCAATCCGCTGAGCCACACCAGCCAGGGCTGGGTTTTTTTTTTTTTTTGCCTTAATCCCTTCACCTTATTCACCCAGTTCCCCAACCCCTCTCACCCCCAACAGCTGTCATTCTGTCCTCTCTATGACTCTGTTGTGATTGCTTTCTTTTTGTCGGTTAGATTCCACATATAAGTGAAATCATAGCATATTTGTCTTTCTCTAACTGCTTATTTCATTCAGAGTGATGCTGTCCAGATCCATCCATATGGTATGTAATGCTTAAGGAATTTGAGCTCAGGAGCCAGGCAAAGCAAATTTAAAATGATTGATGTGTCATTTTCTAGCTCTGAAATTTTGTTTTAGTGCTGAAGTCTTTTGAACTATTTCTGTTTATGGCATTTGTTAAATTGGTAAATAAACTATAATCAGCAGGTTTGCTGTGAGGATTAAATAAGCAAATGTATGTCAATATCTAAGCACAGAGTCACACTGGATACAAATTTATCTCTGTTTTTGTTTTCTGGACCTCGGGTACAAATGGGTGAATTAATCCTACTGTTGTTTGTCACATATTATCATCATTTTTCCATGAAATGCATCTGATTGTTATTGGTATTTTAGGGGAGAATTTACAGTTTATAAAAGCTTTTTCTGTGTGTGTCTCTCACACGTATTTCTGTGTGCTACATACATACGCACATAAATATACATTTGTGTGTGCAATGAAGTGCAGGGATCTGCAGCTACTGAAGGTTAATATAGAATAGGACTCCCAGGATTTCGGGTAGTACCTTATGAAAACGTGAGATGGGTCAACTAGAGTCTCAGCCATTCCTTATTGTCTAGACACCCTTGACCTAGAAGACTGAGGCGGTACATGACAGCAACTCTGTGACTCACGTATGTTCCCCTGCTCCTTTCGGATGCTGGGAGTGGAAGGACCTAACTGGGGTATGGGTATCTTTGATCTTGCCAAATGAAATAAAACACTGAGTGGATGAACTCCATCATAAAGTAGGTTCTTAGTTGCTTGGTATCCAGGCCCATGGGGAACTGAAGAGCAGGAAGGGGTAAGGGTCCAAAGGGGTCCATAGTGGTTGGAGAACCCCTGCTGGTGCCAAAGGCAAGAATAATGGCATCTGGGAAATTCCACGGTGTTCACCTGCAGGTGGAAACCAAAGCGTACATGTGGAGTGAGTCGGGGATTGCTGTGCTTGGAAATCAGGGAGGGAACTGAATGAGTCTGGATGCCATTGCCCAGTTATCATACCAAACTCAATACTACCCATATTCTTTTTTAAAATTTGATTTAATTCCATTTTTTCATCACCATTTATCCCCCTATACCCTCTCCCACCTCCACCCACCTCCCTCACCCCACACTCATCATACTGTTGTTCGTGCTCAGGACTTCTTTCTCTTGTTTCTTTTTTGCTTAGTCCCTCCATCCCCCAGCAACCCTCCATAGGTTTCTGTATTTCTGTGTGTTTTATTATCAGCTGTTGTCACAGCCTTCCTTCTCTTGGCCCAGGGGAAGGAGGAGAGTCCCTCATGCGTTCCTCATAGAGCACACTGCATGTTTGTTGGTTAGTGGGGTAGTCGCAGCCAGGTAAACACTGGGGCTTTGTGATGGGTGGGACTGGAAGTCAGCACAACACTGGGGTCTTATGGCTTCTCTCTCTGTCCCCAGCTTTGCCTGCGTAGTGCGTGGACTGTCTGCGAGTGAGAACCCAGAGAAGGACACCTGGCAGCTGGCTTGGTGACCATGCAGCCCCTGGTGAGTAGGGGATGCCACCTTCTGTTTCGCTCACAGCGCCGCTGGCAGCAGAGGGCAGCTTTCTCCTGCCAGCACCAGTGCTCTCAGCACCAGGGGGCACTCAGAGACCGGAGCCCCTGGAGCTTTCCCCAGCACTCTGAGGAGGTTGTGGTGGGTAGGAGTGCCTTGGGTACTGGCGGTCTTCCTAGCATCGAACTATTTTACTCCAGCCAGTTGTGTATTTATAGAAGAGCCTAGAGAAGTTTCTTTTTGCCATTCAACCCATGGCCTCCTTGGGAAATAATGCACCCATTAGTCATGCTCTGGGCCACCATGCTTCGAGGGCGTGGCGAGCAGAGGGGAGCAAGGAGCAGAGCGTTGCTGTCCAGTAGGGAGGCTGAGGTTCCCTCAGGGGAGGCCGGCCACTCGGTGTCACGGGTCCTGGGTGAGGGCTGCGCCAGGTGGGAGGCCGGGGAGAGCATGCAGAATCATTCGCTTATTTTTTTCCAATTTTAAGTGTAAGGATCTGATAGAATATACGTGCACTTTTGGAAACGTCTTCGAAAGATAACTAAAATTCTCATTATCATTCTTGTCCCCAGTCACACGTTTGCCTTTTGTAATTAACCTTTTTTCCTATTCGGTACCTGGAATTCATGTACAGGGAGTATTATTTCTGTAATTGTGGCTGCACGTGCAGGACAGGGAGTGGAGCAGAGTAAAACTTAAGACCCTGGGGAAGTTTTTGAAGACGTAGACAGGCCGGGACCAATCAAGAGGCTTCCTGTGTCCTTGAGCATGGAGACAAGGTCAGGCCACAAAGGAGGCAGACAGTGATAACTGCTGTTTGGGGTCCCTGAGAAGTCGAGCATGGGGGTCTCATCCCACAGGGCAGTCAGCCAGGACTCTCCTTCAGCACAGCCTCTAGAGGGCCCTGGCCTGTGCTGCTGAGCCACCCACCTCTCGTTTGCTGCGCCCCCACCCTGAGCCCTGTGGAGCTGAGTGAGACTGCGCCTGTGGGTGCCGAGCTCTGAATGAGCTTCCCCATCCTGCTGAGTGCTGGGGACCATGGCAGGGGCCTCGGGCACTTGGGTGGGTGACAGGCTGATGGCTTGTATTTAATACACGTTTACTTAGGGAGGATGAACTTCCCATGTTAGTCCACTGATCTTCCCACACTCATGAGTTATTAAACCCTTTCAGGGACGAGGAGACTGGGGTTCATCTAGAGGAATGATGGAACCAGAGTTACAGTTTAAAGTTGGCAGTGATATGTCAGAAAAGTTATTTGACATTAATCTGGAAGAGAGTTTTAGTTATGAATTTTAGAGGGCAATTATTATGATCATGTATCTGGAAGTTATAATGATCAGTTTGGGAAAATTTGAAGGTTATATTACACTGTACTTGGTTTGCTGTTCCCTTTTAATAAAAGTTCGTTGATTCAGACCACGTGTATCTCCATGATATGTCTGAAAGGCAGGTGCCAGCCCAGCACTGAGAATGAAGTGACGGGAACCCACACTCAGCTGGATCTTTCTGGGCACCCAGCTCCTCGGCCCCTACCTCAGTGTTGTCACCTCACCCTCCTGCTTTGGACATTGGCAGGGACTGTTCTGTCTAAGTCGGAATGTCCATGGTGTTCTAGGAATCAGTGACGTTTGAAGACGTGGCTGTAGACTTCACCCAGGAAGAGTGGGCCCTGCTGGACACATCCCAGAGGAAGCTCTTCAGAGACGTGATGCTGGAGAACATCAGCCACCTGGTCTCCCTGGGTGCGTCTTGCATGTTTGTGTATGAACAGGTGGGAGGGTACTCGGTCACTCACCACGCACTCAGTCACAGGTGTCTAGAGCAGCTTCCACTTCCCACTCCGCTCTCTGCCCTGGTTCTCCCACAGACCTTGCAAGTCGTCTCTTCTCATTGACTTAGGTCCAGTTCGTCCTCCCACTGGGATGCAGTCTTGACGGCAGTGTGACATCTCTCGTCCTACTCCGTCTCTAACACTCAGAACAGAGCTGGAAAAGCAACGAGTATTTGTGAACACATGTTTTCTAAATAATTATTCTGTCTAGTCACTCTGCTGAGGCTTGAGAGCAGAGTAGTAAGAATAACAGGACTTGACTGTTCTGGTGGGGCTTCTGTGTATCGGCATTGGTGTGGATGTAGTGTTCTGCCCCCTTTGGAGACATCTGATTCGTCCACTGTGGAAGAGAGAGGGCTTCTGCACTCCGTCCCTGAATGTGGGTGTGGACATCCACAGCCATGGCCTGGATTTCTTCCTGGGCTGCTGAGGGGCCATCACTGTTTTCTCTGTTCAAGGTGGCATTGCCTGAGGTGACCTTCAAGGTTCTTATTCTTCCTCAGTCACCTGGCCTGGCCTTGATGATAGTGCACTTTTATTGGCACAGATCTCAAAATCCATGCACCCTTTCTCCCTGAGCAGGGTATCAGCACCGCCCATCAGATGTGACTTTCCAGCTGGAGCACGGTGAAGAGCTGTGGCGGGAAGGGCCTAGATTTCTCCCAGGCCAGGGTGCAGGTGAGCAGCAGGGGTCGGTGTGCTGGATGAGCAGGTGCCTGCTCAGTGACTGAGTGCATCCTGGAACATCACGGGAAGGTGTGGGGAAGTGAGTGATATTTTCCAAATGTAGATGGAGGACAACAAAGCCACATTCTTCAGACGTTGTATTATTTCATGCATTATCAATCAGAACTCGTGTCCTCCTGCCATTGGCTTTAGGGAAAAGGATTTTCACATGCTTATTGAAGTTAAACTTTCACATAATGACACTTGCCTTGATCCTCCCTCTGAGAGGTTCCCTCTCTTTACTTACCCAGCAGCTCATCTCTGTTTTACTTGTCTCATATATCAGTCCCAAAAATCTTCACTAATCATCAGTACCCCAGAATGTGTTCATTTCTGCTTTCTGTTCCCCATCAAAATGCAAAGTTTTGAGACATACTGTCATGGACCTGGTGCTTTTCAACATTTTCATTCCCCTAATGCCATTCTATTTCTTTTAATTTTTTAGGCAGGGAAAGTGCCATTAAAAAACAAGAGACTATAGCCACACAACGTAGCAGTGGAAAGGACACGTGGACTGTCGTGCCCCTGGTGAGTGTTACAAGCGCAGCCCAGTCACCCAGGCTAAAGGCCTGGCAATGGGATGTCTGTAATGAGTGTAGCAGCCAGATTTACATTAATTTGGGATTGAGCTTCTTTGGAGAAAAATATTTTAGGTAGTTTGAATTTAGTGAAAACCTAAACCTAAGCACAAAACTGTCACCTGAGAGCTTAGTAAAAAGACAAGTGCATGAGTGTTGCTTGTATGCCTAGGCTTTGAAACATACTGAATTTTTTCACCATCTGTTAGCTCTGTGGCTGGGATGCTGCAGAACAGGAAATCTTTGTAAGTGGAGGAGAGTAACACAGCATGTGTATGCAAGTAACATTGGAAAGATTTTAATTGGATACTGTCACAGAAAGATTAGTTTAGTACTCAGATGTAGAGAAGTGCATGTGTGAACGTCTGTGGAAAATCATTAACATTCTTTCATCTCCTCCCCCAAAGCAGAAATCTCATACTCTTGAGGACCCCAGTGAATATAAGGACTTGGGAGATTTCACTCACAGCTCCACAGTGACTCAACACTTGTTAAATCACATGGAAAAGAAACCCTGCATCAGCAAACAGTGTCAAAGCTCCCTCAGTGAGCAGTCCTGCCTTAACCCACATAAGCAAACGCACACCAGGGGTAAATCGTATGAGTGCCATCTCTGTGGGAAAGCCTTCAGCAACTGCTCTAGCCTCCGGCGGCATGAGATGACTCACACTGGAGAGAAGCCATACGAGTGCCACCTCTGTGGGAATGCCTTTATCCAGAGCTCTGACCTTCGGAAACACAGTCTCACACACACTGGGGAGAAACCGTACGAATGTCACCTCTGTGGGAAAGCCTTCAGTCAGTCCTCGAACCTAAGACAGCACGAGAGGACACACACTGGAGAACAGCCATATGAGTGCACTCAGTGTGGGAAAGCCTTCAGTAAATGCTCTGCCCTTCGACGGCACGAGAGAACCCACACTGGTGAGAAGCCGTATGGATGCCATCTGTGTGGGAAGGCCTTCAGTCAGTGCTCTGCCCTTAGGCGGCACGAAGGAACCCACAGTGGGGAGATCATGAATGCCTTCAGCAAATATTCGGACCTGAGATGACATGGGTTTGCCAGGGCCATGAATGTGGAACATCAGTCATAGCTTCAATGTTTCAACACCCTTGAGGGCTCATGCATTGCAGAAACCCTGTCTGTAGTCCGGGTGGAAGATCCTGCAGGTGCCCCTTCTCGCCTGACACCTGCGAATACGTGTGGGGGAGAATCCAGTTGCATGGCATCTCTGCGGCCGAACCTTCAGCCAGTGGTGTGACCACGGAGGCCATAGGAGAGCTCACACTGGAAATATAAGGAATGCAGAAGTCTTCAGCAACAGCTTTAAATTTGACACTACAGAACCCACACAGGAGAGAACTCCTCAGTCTGTAACCAATGTGGGGATACTTTTATTTATAATCTGGTTTAACAACATGAGCAAACCTCACTTGGGAGGACCTTTAGATCTGTAGTAACTATAAACAGATACCCAGCCAAGCCCCAGACATGGTGCGCACAGGAAGACTCTGATGCAGTGACCTCCGAAACGGTGTGTGCGGCGCAGTCCTCTCGAGGAATACCAGTCATCTATCCTTGAGCAGCAATTTGGTAGAAACTTGTGAGGACTCAGGCTGCACTTGGTGTCATGAAGAAGGAATGTCTTCAGTGGCCACTCATTCACAGTCGCCATTACAGTCCTCAAGCTGAGAAGGAGCTGTCCTAAAAGCAGAGTAGACAGGCCTTCAGCTTGACTGAACTCCAGACAACTCAGTCTAGTGAAAAAATAAACCCTCTAAGAGCTCCTCTTAGCCTACTATTTATCAGATAACTCAGAATTTTGAGAAAAATAATTATTCATGGGGAAGTTTGGTATCTGGATGCAAAAGAGAGTGATCTGGAAATATTAAATGCCAACTTTTGTAAGATATTAGAATCAAATTTTCAATAGATTATTGCTTGTAAATATTAAACAACAAACTCTGCCACTTTAAAACCTATGCTGATGAAGCTGTAGTTCCCTTATGCAGTTGCAAATGTGGGTTCGAGCCCACACCCCCTGGCATGTGCCTGTCTCTCTGAGACTTGCCTTCTTCTCACAGCTCACAATCAACAGCCATCTCCAACTGTGCCCTGGTGGTGACGCCAGGGACCTTCATCTGACCTGGCAGCATGAGGCCCAGGGAGATGGGCTCCTTTCAGAGCTGCAGCCACCCCAGGGGCCCGATTGGTAGGCAGCTGTCTCCTCTTCCCAACAGCAGCTCCTGCCTCCCTGAGCATTGCAGCAGACGTTGTGGGGGCATAGGGGACACCACCTTTTCGCAGATGCTAGTTGACACAATGGTGGGCTAAGAATATTTGTTTAATAATCACCTAGTTGGAATAGATTGTCTAAATTCTCGTCACGTAGTATTTTCATTACTGTGCTCTGTCATCTACCTGTGTCTTCATGTCGCATGGAAACCAGGTTCTCTACCCCTGGCATGTTCCATTACCTCACACACATTTACACACAGACAGAACCTCCCAAATAAGAGTGGGTCCACAAGTCCTTGAACAATTTCCTCCACAAGTCATGTGTGAGACTGGGAGATTCTTAAATTTAAATATGTAAGAAGTTGATTGATATCTAGATCTGTCTCTAAAACTAGTTCTGGTGTGGCCAACCCACAGAGAAAGGCTTCACGTGAGTTTTCCTAAACCATCACTCAGTGGCCTCCTGTCCTGGCACCCAGAGCCCAGCCACAGGTCTGTGACTGTAAGCCTGAAATACAGCAAGGAGGGCCTCACCCATTCCCCATCTTTTCCATGTGGGGAGGCAACCTCTTGGTGATGAATATTATGACTACCTTTGAAACCCCAATCTATTATTCCATTTATTAGTTCCTGAAGATGAATAACATGCATGTGGGCGAGCTCTGAAAAGCATATAGATGTCTGTACTGATTCCCTCTATATTGAATGGAGAAAACGTTCTTAGGGACTTTCACTTTTCTTTTTGCTGTTTTTTTATTGTTTAAGTACAGTTGTCTGCATTTCCCCCTACCACTCCCTCCCTCCTTGACTTTGTCCATATGTCCTTTATAACTCTTCCTGAAAACCTTCCACCCTTTCTCCCCCTCCCAGCTCCCCTCTGGTTACTGTCAGTTTGTTCTTAAATTCAATGTCTCTGGTTCTATTTTCTTGATTGTTTGTTTTGTTGTTTAGGATCCTGTTAAAGGTGAGATCATATGGTATTTGCCTTTTACTGTCCAGTTTATTTCACTCAGCATAATGCTCTCCAGTTCCATCCATGCTGTTGCAAAGGGTAGGAGCTCCTTCTTTCTCTCTGCTGCATAGAATTCCATCGTGTCAATGTACCACAGTTTTTTGATCCACTCATTCACTGATGGGCACATAGGTTGCTTCCAACACTTGGCTATTATAAATTGAGCTGCTGTGAACATCGGGGTGCACAGGTTCTTTTGGATTGGTGTTTCAGGGTTCTTAGGATATAGTCCCAGCAGTGGAATTGCAGGGTCAAAAAGCAGTTCCATTTTTAGTTTTCTGAGGAAATTCCATACTGTTTTTGACAGTGGCTGCCCCCATCTCCATCCCCACCAACAGTGCACTAGGGTTCCCTTTTCTCCACAACCTCTCCAACACTTGTTTGTTGTTTTGTATGATGGCCACTCTCACTAGTGTGAAGTAGTATCTCATTATGGTTTTAATTTGCATCTCTCTGATGGCTAGTGATGCTGAGCATCTTTTCATATTTCTCTGGGCCCTCTGTATGTCCTTCTCGGAGAAGTGTCTGTTCAGGTCTTTTGCCCATTTTTAATTGGGTTGTTTGTCTTCCTAGAGTGCAGTCATGTGAGTTCTTTATATATTTCAGAGATCAAACCATTGTCCGAGGTATCATTAACAAATATGTTTTCCTATATAGTTGGTTGTCTTTGCATTTTAATGCTGTTTTCCTTAGCCATGCAGAAGCTTTTTATTTTGATGAGATCCCATGTGATTATTTTTACCTTTATGTCCCTTGTTTTAGGGGAAAATAGTGGGATACAAACTCAATATTTGGAAATAAAAGGCATTTTTGTATACCAACAATAAAATATCAAAAACAAATAAAAAAATCACACTTGATATAGCAACAAGAAATAAAGTACCTAGTAATAAACCTAACTAAGGAGGTAAAAAACCTGTACTCAGAAAACTACACAACACTGAAGAAATAAATTAAGGAAGACACAAACAAATGGAAGCATGTACCATGTTCCTGGAATGGAAGAATTAACATCATCAAAATGTCCATACTACCCAAAGCAATTTATAGATTCAACACAATCCCTATTAAAGTACCAAAGACATATTTCACAAATATAGAAGAAACATTTCAAAAAGTTATATGGAACCATAAACAATCCCAAATAGCCACAGCAATTTTGAGGAAGAAGAACAAAGCAGGAGAGATCACAATACCTGATATCACACAGTATTACAAGGCCACTGGAATCAAAACAGCTTGGTACTGGCATAAGAAAACACATAGACCAATAGAATAGAACAAAGAGCCCAGAAATGAACCTGAGTCTCTATGGTTAATTAATGTTTGACAAAGTGGGCAGAAGCATAAAATAGAGTAAAAGTAGCCTCCTCAACAGATGCTGTTGGAAGATCTGGACAGCTACATGCAAAAAAATGAAACTTGATCACCAACTTACACCATACACAAAAATGAATTCAAGGTGGATAAAAGACATAAGTCATGGCACCATGGAAGTCCTGGAGGAGAAAATAGTCAGGAAAATCTCAGATACTCCACGTAGCAACATTTTCACCAATATGTCCCCTAGAGCAAAGGATTTTCACATTTTAAAAATCATTTTAACCAAAGTGTTAGGAATCTAATAAGATTAAGGTGAAAACAAAGTTACATGTCTTCCTGGAGCACCATGGCAGAGCCCCAGGTGTTAGAGCAGCTCTGATGACAGTCACGAGTGGTCATGCCTGGACTTGGAAAGAAAAGCCACTAAGAGGGTCTTGAAAGAACTAACCTATGCTAAAACATCTGGTATGAAGACAGAAGTGGCTTTAAATAAGAATTACAATATTGACAGTAATTAATTAAAACACTAACTTTAGGTTATAATAAAATATTCCCATGATAAAGTTCAATTTCATTACTATTTACATAATCTGTGCTTATACTAGTACTACTGAGTTACGCACTAATCATTAAAAATATACTTTATTAATATGGAAATCATTATTAAAAGTAATACATTAGTCACATGAAACTATGAAGTACTACTGATATATTCTGCTTTACATTACAAATATCAGGTTAGAGTTTGATAAAATATATCATCACTGAAATGGTGTCTAGAGTTCTAGTTATTTTTTTGTCAAAAGGACTATCTCTGCATTTCATAATTTAAGCATGTGAAAGAATGTGTCAGCCCTAAAGTACTACCTAAAACAATGTTTATAATGACATATACTGCATTAAAAAACGCCAATAATGTGTTAAAAGAAGGATATGATTAAAACTCTTTGGGGGCCTGGAAAGCAATAAAACAGTCCTCTAGTGTTAATTGAGGCTCAGTGAGTGGCATTTGCACACATATGCTGACACATGTGTCTTCCATTTGATACCCACAATCACCCTGCCTTTATGGGCCGTGTGCACATTTAACAAGTGATGAGCACTAGGTTCAGGAAGCTTAGCTTATGACAAAATCGCACGGCTAGAAATTGAGACCTAGAGTTTAAACTTAGCTCTGCCTGTCCTGAATGGCAGATAACTAAACATTCTTGTCTTAAGAGATAAACACCAGAACCAGGCTTTACCTCCATATGTCACCTGTCAGGTCTGCGACCAGAGATCACCCCTTCACCACCTCCCTCCTCTTGGCCTGTCCACAAAGTCACTCCGCATGCCCAGTTCTCCTATTGCTGTGCAAGGAACCTACTGTTCATTGACCCTAGTTCCGAAATCAGCCCCTGCCTCTCTGAACACCCTCCCGAGCCGGGGTCTCAACACCCTTCCAACCCTGAAATCTAGCATGCTTTCGGCTGGACTTGAACATCCCTCTGGCCAGGACCCAACCCGTTTCTGCACCTGGGATGAACTTTTCTCCCAACCCTGGGCTAGAACACCCTCCTGATTGGCACACCACCCTCCCAACCCCGAGGTGGAGACCTCCCAGTCCAGGCTTCAGACACCCACCCTCCCGGCCATCTGTCCACACAGGGTCCTCCTGCAGAAAGCCCGTCAGAAACACCCTGGATCCACACCATGCTAGGATTTATCACGTCTACTGGAATCAACCCAATAAGTGATTCCTTCTGTAAACCAAGTCTGGTGAGAATGCTGGATGACAAACTGAAAAAAGACGGCCCGAGGGACACTCCAGAACAAGAAAGTCTTTCTCGACAGTGAAGGAAAATACCCGTGAGGAACCGGGCAGAGTCAACTCTCCACCCCCGGCCACCATGGGCACCCGCACAGGTGGGCGTCTGCTCTTCTAAACAGTTCCCACCCCAGGGCGGTGGCTGTATGTCAGCGTCCGCAGGTATTTGACCCCCAGTGCTGTTCCGGATGACCTTGTCTATACTAATGATTTATCTGCGCCCCCGGTGACCCTGGTTTAAGCCCTGGCATGCTAGCCCCGCACTTCAAGTTCCCCTGGCAGGGGCTCAGAACCAGCTTGGATTTCCCGCTACGGCCAGGGGTACGCCTGTGCACCTGCCCGCAGCGGCTGCGGCTGCGCTCTTCCCCGCCGTGGACTCGACTCACCGTGAGCCACCGTGCGGCGAACCAGGTGCGCTGCTCTACTCTCCAGATCACTCCTCCAGGTCCGGGTACCCGGATCCTGTCTGAACTATACGTCCCTTCTACCGCGTACATTTTTGGGTGAAACCCATTTATATTGTCCTCGACTACACTGAAAACTTCACAGCTGAGAGGCTCACCGTTTTTATAAAACGAATTCTGTCCTCTACTTTCTATTGTGAAAGAGATTGTAATATATAAGCGTTAGGGCCATCGGCTGGATGAGTGGTGACAGGAACACACTTACAGTGTCCGCATGGAGGGATTCATGTTCCCCTTCCTCAATGTGTCTTCATAGGCGCAATACCAGCACCTGACCCTACACACGACCAGGTGGCCAGTGCAAGAGATGGCGGGAAGGGTCAATTGCCAACCAATGGGAGCAGGGGCCGAGCGAGCAGGTGCCAGTGCGTCCCCTTGCATCCACGGGAACAGATTGTGACAGGCAGGGACAGGGCGCTCCCCGTGTCCACCTGGGGACCATTTACGCAGGGCCGGCGGGGACTGAAGTGGCAAAGCAAAGTGCAAATCTGGTCGTTCTGAAAGGACAAATCGCCGGCTCCTACCCGGTGCATTTCCCTGTTCAGTCGCGTAGAGAGACCGCGAGGATTGCCGGCGGGAACGGGGACAGGCAGGGTCTGTGCGGAGGGCAGAAGCGCTGCTGGTCCGCAGACACCCGGGTTCGATTGGCACCCGGGAGGGAAGGAGCAGGTGAAAGCCACAGGGCCCTGAGGAGCGGCGGGCTTGGTGCCCTTGGACTCTGTCCTTAGCCCGCCCCTCCATGTCTGATCTCACAGGCCTACTGTGGTCCACCCGCATTGCAGAAGCAGACAGCGCGCAAAAGCTGGGGACTTGTTTTTCTTACTACACCTGCGGGGTCCTCGCTGGAAGCAGGTGGGACTCCCACGACCACACCCTGATAAAGCCGGAAGGAGTAAGGATTGCACCTCCCTAGGGGACCTGCCTTCTCCTGGGGGGTTCTGCTAAAGTGGTGGGGATTCCCACCTTCCTGCAAGGGATTATGCTAATGTGGGGGTGATCGCGCTGTGCTCTCACGGGACTTGCAGACCACATAAAAGTCCAGGAGTACGGGACCCTCCAGCCTTCTCCTGTCAGCTGCTGGAGGGTGCGTCGCGTCTGGAGGACCTGCTCCAACACTTCAGGTCTGGGAATCCAGTGGTGGAGAAGCGTCTCGCACACTTCAGGTGGGTTTCCTTTCATTCTGGCCCTTGGCCTGTCCCTCCAAGAAATGGGACACTAGCAACTACGTATTGTGGGGCTTGAGGGAGTGGGGTAAGTGTTCTTCATTTGCACAGTAACTGGGCAAAATGGAGGACAAAAGGCATCTTCTCAATGCTAATGGTTACTCCAAGCGTGAATATGAAAGGTAGTGGAGCCAGCAGTGTGCTCTGTGGGAGCTGGGCGTGAGCCGTTATGGAAACCGGGTGTCGCAGGCCATAACTGACTAGTTTGGACATAGTCCCGACACATTAGCGTGGGCTGGTGTAGCTCAGAGGATTGTGCACGGGCTGTGAACTAAAGGGTCCCTAGTTCAATTCCCAGTCAGGGCTCATGCCTGGGTGGCAGGCGATGTCCCCAGTAGGAGCGTGTGACAGGCAACCACTCATTCATGTTTCTCTCGCTCTCTGTCTCCCTCCTTTCTCCCCTCTGTCTAAAAGTGAAGAAAATCCTAAAAAAATACAAGTTCATGTCAAATATATTGGAAAGAAATTAACAATAGTACATGGAGAGCAAATTTACTTATTGGAAATAACAGGATAGCCCATCAACAGTGAAGTTTTCAGTCTAGCAGAAGAGAAAATAGTTTTATCTTGGTGAATTTGTATTTGAAACTACCTGCTCTTCTGTCCCATGGGAAATTCAAATTTCCCAGAAGACAGCAACTTCATGGGGCTTTCTAACTTGTCTGGTACATGATCCAGTGCAGCAATGATGACGGTGTACTTCTGGGGAATGATGCCTTCCTCTGTCCTGCTAGGTTGCCGGGGACATAATTCACTAAAGTCTCTTAGGTCATTCATCCCATTTGACCAGGTGATCCTCAAGTGTCTCACCTTAGAGTCCTGACAAGGGAATAAGCCCCCTTTTAGGGTCGTGTCCTGGGCGATGGCTGTCAGCTTAGAGCCCTGGCCTGGTGGCTGGCATTAAGGTTAGAGCCCTGGCCTGGTGGCTGGCAGTCAGCTTAGAGCCCTGGCCTGGTGGCTGGCAGTAAGGTTAGAGTCCTGTCCTGGAGGTGGGCAGTCAGGTTAAAACCCTGACCTGGGGAGTGGGAAGTCAGCTTAGAGCCCTGCCCTTGGTGAGGGTCAGGCAGGTTAGATTTCTGAACTGGGAGTGGGCAGTGAACTTCGAGCCTTGACCTGGGCATAGGTAGTACGAAGAGGGAGAACACGGCTTCAGATAGAGGTGTTCTTGGCCTCCAAGGTGGCTTTCCTGAGTGATCAGGAGGTCCCTTCATGCCCACTAAGAGCAGAATCTTCATGAGGACCTTTTCTCTCTGTGTGATTTTTAAAAACTTTCTTTTTTTCCCCTCAGAAGATCCGCAGATTTACACCTGGGCAAAACTGAGTCAGAGCCTCACCACGGTGCTGTAGATGGCGGGTCGTCACCCACAGGCTGGGCCCAGCAAACCCCTGAGGGCCCAGAAAGGGCAGAAGCAGCCAAGGGCCGCGGTGGCTGTCAGGGGACCCCCATCGGAGGAGGAGGACCCCAGGGTGAGTGGGGGCTTGGTGCTATCGGGAGTCTGGGCTGGCAGGTGCGACTGACATGGAATTTGGACATGGCATATCCTTTGCCCATAATTATGGGTCCTTTCCCTTTTAGGGGACACCTGCTGGGGTTATATTCACACGGTAGCTTGGTCCCTTCAGTACAGAACACCAACTTCATTTCCTAGTTAAAATTCTAGCAGCCTGTTTTGTGCTGCAATGGTTTCATTCGGTGTACGTGCCTCAGCTTAGAAATGAAACTGTTTCTCATGCATTCCTCTCACTAACTCGGGGTGGGGGATCCCCGGTAGTATATCCAATAGCAGGTGCCTGGGGAGCCCCATGCTTCGACCCTAGTCACTAACACATATTCACAGTCTAGGAATCACTCCTCTTTATCACTGTTCAAATGTGCATCTGGTTGGGGCTGACGCACTGTCCCGAATCTCCCCCCTCAGGTGAAATGCAAGAACTGTGGGGCCTTTGGTCACAAGGCAACCAGCACCCGGTGTCCCATGAAGCACTGGGATGGGGCCGTAGCCCCCCAGCCCCTCAGCTCCAATAAGATGAAGGAGAACCGGAAACTGTGCTCACCTGGGGATGCCAGGAACCCAGGGTCCACAGCCCTGCCTGCCAAGGAGAAGGAGCAGAGGCCCAGGTGAGCACTGTGGGGGTTGGAGCCCAACCTTGGGGGAAATCCATGGGGCTGGGGTCCCTTATCTCTCCACGGTCTGCATTAACATCTCCTGGCAAGGATGGAGACAGGGAGAGAGAGAAGGAGACCCCTGTCTCCAGGGTCACGCTCCAGGTGGTCACTCTCCAGCTGGGGGGTCACTGGGGCAATGGAGGCTAGGGATAGGCATGGGATCACATGGGACTTGTAGAAGGACAGGCAGAGAGGCCATGGTGTCAAATAAAAGTCCTTCATGGACAAGCCTGGAGGAGAGAGGGAGGGAAGGAGTGAGGGGCAGGAGGGGCCAGTGTGGCAAAGGCACCTGGCCTCAGTCTCTGACTCACATGGGAAGAGGGTAAGTGTCTTTGCCACAGAAAGTTTTGTCTCCACTGAGGGCAAGGAGTGGAGTGACTTTCTTTCACCATGTCGTGTCCTGCAGCCAAGAAGACCAGCAGAGACAGGCTCTGCTCCAGAGATATCCCAGAAGACCCCTCGGGAGGCTGCAGCCATCCAGGAAGGATCAGGAACAAATCTGTAACTACCTGAGGGTGAGTGTCTGCACTGTCTGAGCTCCTCTACTTCAATGAGTCAACCCCCACTGCCCTCAGTTCAGTTGTTAGCGGGGGAGGGGCGGGATTGTGGGACCCTCCAGGAACCTCGCTGGTGCCTGGAGTGTATTTCACCAATGTCACCTTCCAGCGTGCCTGTGAGTGTGCCTTACACTTACATGTGTGCCAACACTGCACTGCTGGAGGGTGAGGTTAGGACCTCAGTAGATGTTCCCAGATGGTGGGATCCCTCGGGGAGAACTGGCATGTTGAAACTGGGAACCCTACACCCAGATGACCCCCCAAGCTCACTAGTGATCAAACTGCCCTCAAACACCATGAGTTGGGTCCCTTCTTGAACGAGGGAATCTCAGGACTTCATTCCCTTCACTGACAGGGGGCACTAGTAGCAATTGTCTTTTTTGTCTGGTGTCAGGCTTGGTACAGAGGGCACTGTGTGACTTCTGTCACAGTGTCCAGCTCTGAGGTCAGTGACCTCCTCATCTGTACCATCACTGAGGGCACAGCAATTTCTGTGCATGTCCCCTTTGAAGATCTTCGTTGTCCTACTTTGTTTCCTCTTGTTCTGTCTTTGATGCAGAGGAAATTCTAATGTGTAATCTCTTTCTGTCTCTGCCTCCAGCACCCACACCAGCCTATGCCAGTCCACACGACCCAGAGGATATGTCTGGGAGACATTGGTCACACCACGAGTTCCCCTGACAGAAATCCTGATGAGATATCCACAGTGTCTGCCATCCACAGAGCTGAGAGGAGCATCTTCTCACCAACGGTGGTAAGTAAGGGAGAGAGAGTGCCTGTCAGTGACAGCCATCACCCAGCAGGCAGGGGCTTTGTCCAGGGTCCTGGCTCCAACCCACATAATCTAGCTCCTGCCTTCATCCCTCAGGCACAGGCCAAGCACCCAGATGTGAAATCACCAAGCATGGGACAGGCTGCTGCTCACAGTTCTGGCCACAACTCCCAAGTCAGCCTCAAGGCCCCTGGTAAGAGGGCTGCAGAGAGCCCTGTGCAGACCAGCCAGAACCCCCTAAAGAAGCCCAGACTCAGCTCCTGCCCAGCCCCCCAGAAGACCATGCCAAGGGCAGACCCAGAGTGTGTCCAGCCAGTCCGTCCTCCAGCAAGTGTTCCTGTGCTCACACCTGCACTGGCACCTCAGGCTCCCAGGAAGACACCTACCCAGGGAGAAAGTATTGGCCTGCCGCCTCCACCCAAGGGACATCTCCTGAGCACTGTCTACACCTGCCCTGTGTCTCAGCATCCTCTGGTTTCCCAGAGGCAAGGCCAGCCCTCTCAGAATGGTCCTGAGAAGGTTAAAGGGGAGGCCAGTGGAGCTCCAGGCTCCTGAGCACTCCCTCAGTGCTGCCTGCTGAGGGCCCTGCCCCTCCTGCTCAGAGCCCTCCCTCCCCAGGGATGGCAGAGGCACCCTACGCCTCTGAGTCTTCAAGTGCCCTCTACGAAGACCTACAGGTCTCCTCCTCCTCTGAGGACAGCGAGGACCTGCAGGACTTCTCCTTCTGGGAAGACACTGATGACTAGTGAGATGCCCGTGTCTGTCAGACCAGTCCTCCACACCGGGTGACCTGGAGTGACTGAGGAACTAGGGAGGGGAAGTCTCGGGGACAAGCTCTTTCTAGGAAACAGGCCAGTCCCGTACTGTGTTCTGTGGACATCTGCTGGGAACCTAGATCCTGTTTGGGGACACAGACTTGTAAATACTTCACTTTGAATCATTTGGGTTAAGTGATATTTCTAAACGTATTTGTTTATTAGCTCCTGTTGGTAAAGTGATATTGCTAGTGACATTGTTAAGTACGTGTAGTTAAATTTGTAAATTTATATTAATGCACAAGGAATTAGGTCAGTTAGGAATAGTAGCTTTTACACTGTACTTTCAATAGGAAGTTAGGTCATGTATTTATGTGAGGTTAGCAGCGTCCCCACTTTGGGGACACTGGGCACAGGACTGGGGACAGCACAGCAGGTGTGAAGCAGTGCCTGTCTGAGGGGACACTGTCCACTGTGTGGGGTTTTTCAGTGAAAAGGAGAATGGGGCCCCTTCTGCAGACATTGTACCTTTGTTTATGAAATGCCATCATAAAGTTGTGTTTACAAGTCCCTTTCCTTTTTAATAAACATCTGCCCAGTATTTGTTGTTCTTGGTCTTCATTTTTGAGTATTTCTGGTCATTTTAAAAGCAGTGGTTTTTCCTCAAAGCTCATTTCACTCATAAGGAAGTTGAGTCTGGTACAACAGAGTGCCTCCTGAGGCAGAACCTCAGCCTGACCCAGCTGGACAGCATCAGTATGGGAATACTCAAGAAACGCTCTCCTGAGTCTGCTGTAGCTTCAAATGAGGATTGCTTGTACGCAGGCTGAGTGTGCTCTGGGCGCACATGGGGCTCAGTTGGTCAGTTTTCATACAGCCTCACTCCTGAGTCCCACTCTGACTAACTCGAAGGTTCTGTGTGTACCACAGTGTGCGGTGCTGGGCATTTCAAAGCTCCCTGGGATGGTGGCAGTGGGCAGCTGTGTTTGAGAACCACTGGAGGTGAGGGTCAAATTATCTCGGGAGGCAACCTCGCTCCATGCTCTACTTCAGGACAAGGTCAGACTAGGTCAAGGTCAAACCCATGGCCCTGTAGAGCTGATTTCCTTGGAAAGAGCACACCACTGCTCCTTCCTCCCGCCCTGGAGGAAGCGATTCCTGCTGCAATCCTGGGACGGTCAGTCCCCGTCACAGTGCATTGGGTGCATGGTCGTGCATTTCCCAGGCTCTGCACAGTCTTTTACTCCTGTGCAGAAACTACGCACCATCACTCTTAGAATTCTCATTATTGATGTCCCTATCACGGTCTTTTTCATCATGGTGGCTATCTCCCATGATTTTGATGATCATCCTTTCTGTCATGGGAAACTGTGCTGCGTGTGGTCACTCAGCATCACATGCAGTCTCTCTGTTCCCGCAGGGTGTCCATGTCATTGCATACAAAATACACACAGCAGGTCCTAGAGAGACACTGTTCGCCATGGTGTCCTTCCCGACGCTGAAGTTCTGACGTTCCCATGTCCCCTGTGCGGCAGGGTCTTTCTTAGTCTTCATGAGGAGACCTGAGTAGCATGTTCTCTCCGCGTCTCAGCCAAGGGAAACACTCTTTGATCTCCACGAGGGACACGTGCGTACCTGTAAGCCCTGCAGTAAAACTCGTGGCACACACCTGTCCCATCCACCTTTGGCGGTTCTCGTTCCCCTTCCCACTGTCAATCAATATGTCCAACACGTTGCAGCAGCAGAATCCCAGAATCCCAGCCACCGCGGGACTCCGAGGACATGCGCACAAACGCCAAGTGTCTTCGGCGTTCTGTTCAAGGTGCTGCCCCGAAACTGCCCGGCATTCAGTGCCTGCGGCTCCACAAAAACCTTTTCCTTTAAATATGTTAAACACTGAACGTGAAATAGCCCCTAGAGTCCAGGACACCCACGGGACTCCGGAAGGAAACAGGGAGACTCCCGCGCTGTGGAAGGAAGTGCAGGCTGGGAGGGCGGGGCGACGGCCGAATTCAGCGCGGCCCCGCCCACCTGAAGCCCCGCCTTCCAGGCTCCGCGCAGCTCCCCGAGAGCATCCGGGTCACCCTCCCCGTACTGCCCGGTATCCCGCTGAACCGGAAACCCAGTTCCCTCGTCATAGGTCCTTCTCCGGCGCGTGGCTTTCGTATTCCTTTTCGCACCAGCAATTTCCCGGCCTCCCGGCCCGGCCCCCACGCCCCACTTCCGAAATGAGTGGGCGGCGAGGCCCACGCAGCGATCCCCACCCCCGCCCTCGGTGCTCCGGTGTGTGGAGCTCCGTGCTCCCACCGCAGCCCCAGGGTTTCTGTTCCGCTGGGGGTTCTGAGTTCCCCAGTGGCGCCAGCTGCACCTCCGGCAGAGGCGCCCCTGCGCTCGGGCTTTGCGCCGCGTTCCTGCCTGGGGGCTCCTGTTCGCCCCTGGCGCTGGGCCGAGCCCCCTAGGGGAAGGAGTGCAGACCCCTCTCTCCCCTGGTGGGCAGTGCGGGGTCTCCGCACTGTGATTTGACATAAATAGCCGTAGTTTTAATTTACATTCCACTAATAATAACCGTAATAATGACCCACCCTTTTTGTTCCAAAGTGACATTTTAAATGTCAGTTGACTAGACCTGCATGAAGGATTTTCTGGACCAACAATGAACCAGTGAGGTGCCCCTTCTCATTGACAAGGCCAATAACTTGCAATTCTGTTGTGTGTGCTGGATACTCATGCTTCCAGACTGACACTCACATCAGGTGCTGATGGTGGCGTTGGCTGTTGTCATTTTTAGTTTTTCTCCCTTGTCAGTGTAAGGGAAAAGACTTCAATGCCTCTGACTAAATAGGTGTGGCATGTTTAAAAAATTCTCACGGCTCACCTTTCGAAAATTGCCGGTGTATGGCATCAGTAAAATTAATTTCTGACAAGAAATGGTGTCAGAAGGTCATGAGTTGCAAAAGTGGGGTGCAATTCACAGACTCAGGGTCCCCCTGACAGCCCTGGGGAGGGAGGGCTCTGAGCAGGAGAGGCCGGATACTCAGCGGGTGGAACGGAGGGAGCTGCCAGGAACCTGGAGCTCCACTGGCCTCCGTTGAACCTGGTGAAGAGTGGGGTGATACCTTGACCCGCTAAAATGCTAAGAAAATGGATCAGATTGAGAGAGAGAGTTTTAAGGTAAAGTGGATACATGTTAAATTAGGACATAAAATTCATAATAGAGCAGGAAGGAATTGAAACCAAACTCATAGAGGAAGTAAATCACTCAGCTGAGATCAAAGGCAATGTATGTCCTGTTGTGAGGGAGACGGCATAGCCAATGAACGACAGTGCAGAAATACGGGGAATCGAGTGTTTGAAAGTCCCTACGTGCAAAGGGACCCACTTCCCAGGTGAAATAGTTGATCAACTACCGCGTGAAAGTGAGGGAAGAGAGGAGTGTGCAGAGAATGAGTGTTAATGGCAAAGCTCTAAAATGCCCTCTATGGAGCATGCAAGACCTGTGTGACCTTGAACTGCCGGTGCTGGTCGGGTGCACAGGGAACTTTTCAGAAGTGTGTCCTCAGATACAATGGACTACTTACTACATCTCAGGATTAGTGATTTTCTCTTGGCAACCAGGAATTTTAACCAGAAGGGCCTCCCTCCATGATCATAAGAACTTCTTTCAAAGGTACAATTCCACTGTGTATGACACAGAAGTTAAAGGAGTTATTCTATTTTGCTAACTAGTAATGATTTTATTGCCCCACTACACAAGCAATGAAGTATAAAGTCATCTTCTCAGTTTTTGCATAGTTAATCAATCCTTAACATGGATTTGAAAGTTGGATGTGCTCAGTGCCCTCACACTCAAATTCTCCATCCCAGGAATGTATCTTGGATGTCACGCCGTTACTGGTTTTCCAGATTTGTTCATCTTTCCTTTTAAGTCTACATTTCCTACAGCAAATTGCACCCCATGTCCACAGAACCCCGTTGTGGTTGATGCTCTGCTTCAGTTCCAAGACATGTAATATTTCCTAATCACAGAGTGCATTCAGAAAGAACTGAGTGAATAAAGGAATGAAGGCATTGTCCTAGCATCTCTTCGCAATGTCCTTAGCATCTTTGCCCTCTAAACTCCAACCTTGCTGCAAGGTTATAATCTCCTACTAATCTGGAAAATCCACTTGAATTGAATAGGGCGTAGCCCACAGATAGAAGCGGGATTGAAGTTAGCTGATATCTTTGCAATCAGGGTGTGTCCTCGGAATGTGGCCATAAGTAGATTTACTAACTGTCCTCCCAGGATAAAAGGCAATCAAACGGGACCAAAGCCTTTGCCTGGATACACGGAGCTGAACAGAAGGGAGTTTCAGAAGTGGAATTGGCTTCTTTGTTCAACTGGCTTCAGCATCCATTTTGCGTTACCTCCTCCTCAGTTTGGGGTTCTGGTGAGTTCTCCAAATGCTAAGACATGAGCTGGCTCATCCTCTTAAATTTGCAGAAGTCATGTCAAAACTTCCCATGATCTTTCAGTTTTATTACATCAATACTCATGCCATTCCCCTCCTTTCTCATAATTTAACGGTTTGTGTTTCTTTCCTATTCTTGCCTTGAATCTATTTGCAATTTTAACTGTTACCCTAAAATCCTCCATTTTGCTGTCCAACACAATAACCACCAGATTCATGGGACTTTAAATTTTAAACTACTGAAATGAAGTAGCTGACCTTCAGATCCTCCATAACACTAGCCCAGTGCCCAGGGTTCTGGGTTCGTGAGTCTAGCAGAGATTGGATTGTTCAGTGCAGACAGAGAGCATGTCCTTTGGCTTGCAAAGTTCTTTTGGCACCTTGATCTACACCTTATGTTTTTGTTATTTTTTATGGATCTGTATGCTTCATTTCTTTTTGGCCTCTGTGAATTAACTGCCTTTCATGAGTTTTATCAAGGGATACTCTTCATTTTCTTCCACAAATGTCTGCAGATGGGTTGTTATATTTATTTTACTC